ATGGAAAGCGGGGGGGGGGGGGGCAGCGGCTAAAAGCTTGGCAGGGCCCCCATGGGGGCACCAAACCTACCTACGCCGCTGAACTCTCCCCACCCACTATCTGTAACCCCACACCGCTTAATGGTGGACAAATATGCGTTGTCCATGGCTTTGATCACCCACAATTCCTAACCCAAAAACGCTTACACAATTCCCCTCTCGCTCTCTCTTTCTCTCGCTCTCTCCGTCTCTTTTTCTTTTTCTCTTTCTTTCCCCATCTCTCTCTCTCTCTCTCTGTTTCTTTTTCTTTTTCTGTTTCTCTTTCTCTCCTCATCTGTCTCTCTCTCTCTCCTCTCTCTCTCTCTCTCTCCATCAGTGAATCAATCCACTCGCTGTGAACCCCAACAAGTGACTCCCTTCCCCCGCCTCAACCACCACTCTCAATTCCTCTCAATGCCATCCCCTCTGACACTTTTCCCCACCACACTAACTGTCTAGCCCGAAAACGTTTTGGTTATTTCTGTCATTCTTTCTTTCCCTTGCTCGCCATGTGTATTATCGCCAAACTCACAGCCTTCATATTTCTGGGCAATTAAATCGTAGTACGACGCATTGCTGACTTGGCGTCATACATATGTGAAGACGTGTGTACATGTGCTTTACAATGAGATTAAAATCTTTAGACAGATTCAATCTTCAAAATCATAACGGTAAGTAACAAAGAACTTAATGTTCTTCCAAAAACAGTATGTTTTTAATAAAACCGTTGATATTATTTATCGATTAAGGAGCAAATTTCCATGTCTAGAGACATGACCAGTCAATTTTTGTTCAATCTTTTTTTTTTTTTTTTTTTTTTTTGGGGTGAGGGGGCAGCGCTATTACAATGTAAACAAAGTCTAAAAGTTACTGTAACGGCCAAAATTCCTTTCACACCATCGTTGTTGGAATGTTAGATGACCCAAGTTAATGTCATGGCTTAAATTACCTGCAGACCATCGTTGTTAGAATGTTCGGAGACCCAAGTTACTGTAATGGCTTAAATTACCTGCAGACTATCGTTTTTAAAATGTTCGGAGACCCAAGTTACTGTAATAGCTTAAAATACCTGCAGACTATCGTTTTTAGAATGTTCGGAGGCCCAAGCTACTGTAATGGCTTAAATTACCTGCAGACTATCATTGTTAGAATGCTCGAAGACCGAAGTTACGGTAATGGCTTAAATTACCTGCAGACTAGTTGTTATAATGTTCGGAGACCAAAGTTGGTGTATCAAAAAAAAAATAATGATGAAAACACCTCCTTGTATGTTGCCAATAAAGTCATTATTTGACCGTCCCTTGCTTAACGCATTTCTCTAGAGATAAAATAAGACCTGCATAAGAACACATCAAGCCAGATAAAAACAACATCAAACTTTTTTTTATTGTAGCTTTTAATAACCTAGCTAATGATTGCCGTTGAAAGAATCATTTCATTGAACTCTTTCATCTCAAGCTTTCCAAGAACAGATTTACCTTTTATCTTCAACACAATAGATTCATCTAAAATGTGCGCAGATGATGGGGAAGTGGGAGAACCACTCCATTTCCTTAGCAGTTTTTTCAATTTTCCATTATGTATTTGTCTACTTTGAAGACAATAGTATTAATGTGATCATATCTTATGTGATTAGTGTGTAAGTGCATGTATCTGTGTAAAAGCAACCCGTACCAGAGCCGTTGGGACCTGGGGAAAATCCTGAAAATGCCCCCCTCCTTTTGTTTTCTTACCTGACAAATTAACTTATTTATACCTATATTTTGAGTGAATCGTGTTATTTTTTACACCTCTTAATTCTGGCTCACGTTAAGCCCCCTCCCCTCCGATTAGCACAGCTCTGCCTCCCACCCCTTTCTTTTTTACAGCGTTGTTACTTGGTGGATGTGGAAACGCAGTGTTTCCTAAACTTGGAGCTGAAGCTCCAATGAATCCAAAAGTTCACCGTGGCGTTAACGGTCTGAAAGAATTCTCTGATGATCTGGGAGATAGTGTACCAGGCATGGTAGCGCTGACCCGCGTAGAAACCGGGCAAAAAAATTTCGAGAAGATTCGCTATTACCTTCGGCATGTTACACACGCCGAAGACGGATGCTATGATGAGCATTTTTCGGACGATCTTCAGCTCTGTGCCAAGCAGCTTGGCTGCCCGCGAGTTTCCAGTTGCGGCAAGACTGTTGCATGTCGACAACTTCCGTGTGTTTTTTGCGGCAATCACACGTGCTTCCTTGACTTCTCGGTGTGTTGCGGTATGGATGCATCGAAACTTTGAGGCTTCTTGGAGGCATCTCGCCATGATGAAGACACTCACGCTGACACCGATCTGAGAGACAAATGGTAAAAAGGCGTCGCGAAGTCCAAATACAATATCCTTGGCCATTTTTCGCTTAGAGGAGAACCAGAGCGTCGGTCTTACCCGATCGATGCTGGAGTCATATTGAGGTATAACCCTCAAGTACGACAGCAATATTATCATAGACGTGAAAGAGATGGATGAAAAGATGGACATAATGACGGCTGTAGTTTTCGAGGACAGAAAACTTCTGAATCGCAAGGGCTTGGCCACAATCAGGCAGCGTGCGACGGTGACGAACGTCGTTATGAGCATGGTATTGGCGTATGAAGCGCTTCCGATGTTGTTGACAACTGAGTTGACGGCTCTCGGGTCCACAAGGAACCAAAGTCTGTAGTTGGTTATCACCTCGACGGCGATGAAGATCAGAGCTACAGCGCTGGTAATATCGGCCACCAGGAAGCAGAGGTCTGATGCAGCCAGCCACGCCAGTGTTAAGTTGACGGTTTCCAACATCCCCATGCGGAAGAAAGTTCTGATCGTAATGATGTTTCCAAGAGAACCGAGTACCGCTAGGATCACGTGGATGGAGGAGTTGACTCCTAGCAACCATGGTTCATATGTGGTGTCATCTCCCCAGGATTGTGATGAGATCGTTAAGTTTGTGAGATCGTTCGAGAAACATTCGGATAACGATGAAGTAGTCGTCAAGTTCATTTTATTAAAATGCTGGCGGAGAGTGTGGTTAAATGCACTATCATCGCTCTTACTACTTAAATATTATAAAACTAGAAATAACCCTGCAAACAAAGGTGGCACCAATGCGTGAACGTCCCATCTACTTGACAAAACATAGAAGTAAACACTTCATAAGAATCACAATTATTGCTAACTTGTGGGATTTATATTTGGCGCGCCTTTTAAACCCAAGTTTACATCCATAAATACATACACATCGAGATAAATATTATTTGTGACTATAGAATTTTAGACCTACTATTACTGTTTATCAATGTACAGGTTTAATTGAAAATTGTGATATTATTGAGTCTGACGCATCTTTTAATGTGCAGAATTATAATAGTCTATATACTACAATGTTAACCCTTTTATTTCTTGTGTTTTAATTGTTCACGTCTTTTTCAACAAACACGTTTTCACCAACCCAAAATGCTGAGTGTATTTGTTAAAGAACTCTGGCATAGGCTTTCACGAGGATTATTTGAAAAGCGGTGAAAATCTAAGTTAATTTGAATATATATTATAACTATGGATTATTTTAATAAGTTTAGATCAGTTAAGTTCTTTACGAAATCATACAGACTTTTTAAATCTTTGCTTGCTCCTTGCATGCTCTTTGTAAATATTGCATCTTCCTTGTAATTGGTGAATAGGAGCTCAACAAACATCGAATGTTGAAGGTGGAGGCGACGGGGCGCCATTTATTCAATCATAGAATGGTACATGTCTACGCGAGTTGTTTATAATGTAAATATTCCGCTGTGTATCATCTTTTGATTGTTTAAACTTGTTAACTACAGAAACCGGGTTGTTTTTTTGTGGGTTTTTTTTAAACAAAAGGTATCTCAAAGTCAAACTCATTAAAAAGCTAAGCATTACCTTCCTTATTATATATGTTGTGCTACTCTTCCGTTGTTGTCGAATTTTGTTTAAGCCAGTCTTTTCAAATTTTGCTTAAGCCAGTCATCTCCAACGGGAGTCAATTATTTATAGAGTTATTTACAAAGCTGAAATAAAAATGAGCCCTAGATCAGAGATGACAGACAGAGGTGATTTTATTTCAATCATGCGGGTAGCGGATTGAATGAAAAAACAAATACTTAAATATCAGCGCTGAACAGGTTGTAATTTGTTGTTGTCTGGGAACGACTGTAAGAAAAAAAGTAGTCGCAGGAAAAAAAGTCTCAGAAAAAAGTCTCTAGCCAACAATTACATTTCAATTGACTTAGAAATGAAATCCGGTTTCTAAAAGTTTGTCTTTGATTCTTTCTTCTGTCACTTTTCTTCCTGTGACTTTTTTTTCCCTCATCCCGGGAATCGCGTCCGGGTATTTTAGGCCACACCAGGCGAGTCCGGGAATTTTAATTCATGAATAACGTATGGAGATCGAAGAACGTATTTCTCTCAATGGATAAAAGGTTGAACCCGTGAATATTTAAAACCAGTGGCGACCTGGAATGCATCAAAGTTTTAAGTTTCAGATGACATTTAACCACAAACCATCAACATAAAAAAAATCTTAGATGGAAAACAGGCTTCTAACGGAGTTTATCTTGGACGATTTTTCGAAAGTGATCAGTACAGAGGCGTCGTCCAGTCTTCCCAGATACAACATAAAACAGCGGGTACAAACATGGGCGTAGATTGTATTGTGACTTGTACACATGAAACGCTCCTTGATCTGAAAACTACTATTGGGGAAGGGAATGTGCTGCATCTGGATAAGAAATAGGGCATGTTTTATAACGGCTACGCCCCGATGGCTTAGTCCCCAAGTTGGGAGGGGGTAGCACGGATGTGTCGCCGCACAAGGAGACCCTGTCGTTCGTATCTCTTCTAAATCCACTAAGACGGTTTTACTGAACATCAATTTTTCTCATTTGTTTGTATATCATTCAGTCCTGTTAATGTCACTGTGCTTGCCAATAATCTCAAACTTGCGTTTTATTTTCAAGCTTCCATTTTTAACGTGTTATCCGGAAATTGCGTGTTGTTGGTGTTTCTTTTTCTTTCTTTTTTGAATGAAACTTTGTTAAGTACATTTTTAATTGTAATTTTCGTTCTTTTTGAAATGATTAGGGTGTATTAGAGTCACTAGACCACTGCGGTTGTTAGTTGAAGGACGAGAAGACATCAGCTGCAGGGATCTGCACCCATTAAAATGATACCCAGAGACAGATTTGTGGGTAGTGGCGAGGTAGGATGCCGCCCGAGGGCGCCAAGAAAGTTGTGCCACCGATCTTATTAAACCTGAATCATAAAAAAAAAAAATATTCGTTTTTCATTTTAAAAATACTCTCCAAACTTTAGAAAAATGTGGTTCTTTATCGGAGCCTAACCATTCTTTGACCGCTGCGTGTATCCCTTATAGTGGAGTTATCTCGTCAGTGAAAGACGGTTGGGTGATCTTAGTGGGCATGGTTTTTACTTAGAAGTAAGGGGAGGGCACTTGCCCCCACATCTTCGTGTTATCACCCAGCAACTACAATCTACCTTGACAGTCTGCCTATGGGTCAAACAATTTTAAATGACGGTCGAATAACAATTGAATCAATAATCACATTGTCTAGGCTTTAAAAGGGTCGCCTTAATCATTTCATCCGATACTTTAAAAGCATTTGAACACTAAAAGCATAACGGAAGTGGTGATTGCATTTATTTACAAAGCAATTTTCAATTAATGTCCTTCTATCTTGCGATTAATTATCAAGGAAAAGTCCAGGGCCTAAATGTCACAAATGACAGAAACAATGGTCCAAAGCTCGCGATTTAATGGATTTCTATTCGAGTCTTCTCATACTGTTAAATCTAAGAGAGCCCAGAAAAATCTGAGACAATGGCTCTGGTTTCAAATAGTTGGTATTTTATAAAAAGCGATATTTTAACAAAGTTATTTGTTTCTCCATCTAGTCATAATTATGTTTTAAAGATGTAACTAAAAACGAACACGTCCAGGGACCTCCACACAGTTACTTCAGTGTTCGCTGAATAATATTCTATTTTTAGATCGTTGCGTCCACTTAAAATTTGCAAACTGTCTAAATACCAGTTGCTAATGGTCACCTCATCCCACTAAATACCAGTAGCTAATGGCCTTATCATTCCACTTAAGATGGTTCAAATTTAGGTTAGGCTTATGTACGTTTTTTGTTAAACCTAGACCTATTTTATTTCAAATAAAGAAAACTGGCATGGAAAAGGGGGTGGGGGGAGGGGGGGGGGGGGCAAACCCTCGTTAAGTCCTTTTCCCGACGTTTAGTTAAGAAGATAGGCATCTTAACGAGCATGTCGCTGCCATGGAATCACTGGACCACACGCGCATGGGTTCATGCTCGTCTGTTATCTCATTGTGTCGTCTCCACCATTTCAAGGGGGAGGGGGGTGCCTTAGTGTATCCGTGCTACTATTTATAGCATACCATCGTTGAATACTTTAGCGGGTGGCTGAGTGGTCTGAACGGTGTTAAAGTCAAGCTTGTGGACTGGAGTTCAATCCCCGAGCAAAAATAACAGCAGCGCTCCAGGTGGATGGCACTCGATTAACTTTGATGGCAACTCGTCTAAGAGAAGGCAAACTCTGAAATCAGACCCGGAGATGGAGTCCCGTAGACGGTATGACTTTGACACAATGAAAATTCCGGCACCTCCAGGTGCGTGGAAAGAGCGCAGTGAAACACACAGTCAAAACAACACTGCTTGTCATCTGCTTCATCCTGGTCTATTTCCAGTCGTCTCTACTGTCTTTCCATTTGATGAAATATGCAAGGACGAGAAGGTGAGGCCGACGAACAGAGAAACTCTAACCCACTTTAACTCAAGTCAAGATCACTACTAAAGTCCAGGCAACTGCTAAAGTCAAGGCTAGTACTCAATTCAAGGTCACTACACAAGTCACGGCCACTACTCAAATCAAGGTCACTACTCAAGTCAAGGCCACTAATCAATTTAAGGCTATTACTCAAGTCAAGGCTACTAGTCAAGTCAAGGGTATTACTCAAGTCAAGGTCACAAAGCCAAGGCTACTACTCAAATCAAGGTCACTATTCAAGTCGAGGCCAGTGCTCAAGTTAAGGCTAATACTCAAGTCACAGCTACTACTAAAGACAAGGCTACTTGTCAATTCAAGGCTGCTTCTCAAGTCAAGGCTACTACTCAAGTCAAGGCCACTAATCAAGTCAAGTCTACTGCTGAAGTAAAGGCTACTACTCAAGTCAAGGCGTTTGTCATTGTCACTTGCGAAGGATGAAATATACTTTATTATAATTGATTGAAGAGCGATTAGGGTCGTTAGAATGTTCGGAAAAAGGGGTTAGGGTTAGAGTTAGGGTTAGGGGGTTGTTGACTTGTAAGATGGCAGCTGCGAGAACCTGCGGCTCGCGAGCCTCTTGTGGCTCTTTGATCTTTCTCATGTAGCTCTTTGATACTATCAGTTATTAAATCAAAATTTAATATTTGGCTATTTGCCATGAACAGTTTCCCGATCCCTGTGCTATGCTATATAACTACGACCGCTTGTGCAGCGTCCGGTCATCAAATTAATTCAAATTAAATTAAATACATTTTGGGGATTCACTTGCGATAGTATACGTTAACAAATATCTTTTCTCATTATAAAAGAAGTAGCTTTCAGAATAATTGCTAATTCCTGACGGCGCCGATTTTTAAAAAAAAAATCAGATTTGCTTTGCAACGTGACCCATGTTATGAAAATAAATGTTTGGGGGATCCCTGTTGGCTGTTATTAAGGACACGCCGCTCAAAGTGCGACTTCGCTGAAAGATTTGAGCAAATTGCTTCTTGAAATGGCATGAACATCACAGGGTCTGGTAAATCGTGGGTTTAGCCAAAAAATAA